CTGTCATTTTTTTTATTAATTTTTATCCAAACGTAGGCTTAGAAAGCTATGAGCATTGCCACCTAAACAGAGTAAGAATATGTTTGGTGAAACTTATAAGAGTTTTTGCTTCTTCTTTTTTTTTATTGTTCATAAGTGATAAGTTTAAATTTTTATTGAAGAAAAAATTTTAAAGTTGTTTTTAAAAATAAAAAAAAGAATTGAGTAAAAAGTGAGTAAACAAAATTTATAAAAAGTAAAAATTTGAAACTTTTCAAAATTTACTGTTTAAAGTATTTTTAATGTTAAAAAAAAGTTAAAAAATATAAATTTTTAAGAAAAAAATTTTAATTTATGAAACATAAATAGTATCAAAAAGTTATAACTCTTATAAATTTCACTAAACATGCTTTAAGTTTTTTTTAAGACTTACAGGGAGTTGGATCCTACCTCAGTACAAAAAATAGTAATTATCTTCCATTACATCATTCAAATTCAAAGATTTTTTTTTTAATAAATTCACAGAAGTTTACCAATAGCAATGGCCGAACTGGGATGTGAAATTTAAAAAAATAGTAATAATAATTAAGTGATAAATAGTTATTGGGTAGCAAATTAAAATACGTTTAGTTTGAGAGAATGAAAGAATTTATTAACCAAATTATATTGTAATATTTAAAAATATTTATAATTTAATAAATTAAAAAAATTCATCCCTCGCCTCCCTCTCATCCCCTCCATTCCTTCAAACCAAATATACTGTTACTAAAAGTTAATATTAACCTTGGCCAATTTTAGTTCTAACACTTTTGTAAGACATGATAAAAGAAATTATTTTTTGGAAAAAAAAATTAAAAATCACAATCATTAGCTCTTTATGTTTTATTTTTATCCCTTTTTCTTGAAAATTCATTTAAATATTAATTAAGATAAAATTCGGAAAAAATATTTAATAATTTTTTGTCTTAACCCATGATATTCAAAAATTACATTAAATCATAACTAATTTAGAGTCGAATCACGTCGAACTCCATAAAGAATAGTTCTTTTAACGTCTATTTTTTTATTTACAAAATTCGAATTCGAAATTTTATTTAAAAAATAAAAACTAAATTCCTCTCACCCGAATTAAAAGGTTGTCAGTTAACTATTTAATAATTTAGTAAAATAAAAAAGTCTTATATTTTGTAATTTGGATTACACTCAACAAACATAAATTATTGAATAAAGAATAGTATCTAACATCTAGAGGGTCACTCTTATTTAATTGTTTAAGTCGTGTAATTTACACTATATAATATTTTTCTAAAAATAAAAAAATCAAAGCTAAAAGTAAATTTTTTTTATACCAGTAAATGTGACAACTAGTAAACATTGAATAGAAGTAGTCCCAAAAAATTTGCAGTCTACGAAGGCCGCCAGGACGATGGACTGACAATGGGGTCTGCATATGTGAGGTCCCTAAAGGATAGGACTCAACTCAAGTTTGCACCGTTCGTTGAAGGCTTGGAAGCATTCTAACACAAGCGACGTTGACTC